GTGTTTCCTAATGTTTTAGCTGATGTACTGAAATTGATAGAAGATTAAAGCCAATCATTCGGCAATCCTCGTTCTCTGTTTCTGGCACAATCATTCGAGTGCGCAACACCAGCCCTCGTGCTTCCTCGGGTGGCATGACAGCTGCGCACCGAAAGGGTGTTAGAGCTGAATGGTTATTAGTTATTTTTTTATTACAACCGACTACGGAATCCGAGGAATCGCGTGGACCAAACCTACCGTTTTACGTTTATAAGCTGTTGGTATTGACGTTTCGTGTGATTTTTTTTATAATAGGGACGGCTTACGTAACGTCGATTATCCATCAGTTTGTACTGAGTGATGCCCATACGACACCCAGTCTCCCACCAAGTACGGTGGCGGATAGAGGCCTGGTGAATACTATCTTGGTCCTCCAGTTTTGGAGGTTAACCAAGTGTGGCGACCTCTTCCTTAAAATTTGCACCACTTTGGCAGTCCTACGTCCACCGTCGCCAAGTTGTGATGAGGCTTTTCAACCAAACGCTTCGGTTGAGGACCTAATTGACCCCTTAACTAAGTTTGCACCCTCTGGGGCGCGAATTTACTGACCGTAATCTCCGTGGTTCGAACCCGACCTCTGCCTCTCGGCTTCCCCTGTCTAGGCTTGGGCAACTTGACAGTATCCCAGCCCTCGTCCTTCCTTTGGGCGTTATTGAAACTAAGCATCGGAAGGGTGTTACAACTGAACGATTTTTTGCACCCTTTAATCCAACTATATTCACGAATTGCTCAGACACTGGTGACTTTTGCCGTGTCTCCTTATTCGCTCCGTACAGCCCGACTGATAGGAAACGTGACAGTTGACGCTTCGCTACTTGATCCTTCTGTCAACCCCAACGCTCTCCTTGCAGTAATCACTCTTCTGCAGGTCACGGCTCTAGACGCGTTAATCGGATACCCAGGGGACTGCACACTGATGCACACTGTTCTAATGTGAATTCCTCCTTTGAAACGCCATTGGGCTGCCTTTTTAAATGCGCCTCCACTTAAACACGGTTTATCTTTGTGTTCATTCCTAACTAGGTTGTCTGGACTTACTTTGGAGCAAGAACGCGCTCTAGGCACCTGGGTTAATCGGTCACGGTACCGCTATTCATGAAAACTACACGAACATATCCAAACGCTGAAAGTATGGTTTCGCGCGGGTACATCGCGCTGGCCGCGTCTTCACGTTACACCAGATGCTTAAGTAGCGTCATAAGTATTGCTGGCCAACAGTAGTTGTTTTCCTCGACTTCAAAGGAGCCTTCGATCCCATGGGAATTATGTTCCACATATACTTGATCAAAGGGGAACGGCCTAAAGCTTCTGCATGTGATCTGTTGCATCTAGCTTCACACTACCAGTCTTGTGGGTGGTCCAAAGTTTTCCAACAGCTACTGATCATAATCTATCTCCGTGTTTAATTTTGCCATCGGCATCACCATAGAATGCACATTTTAATGGAGTAAGAATATCGGTATCGAAATTTGCACAATACAATAATGATTCTTCTGCTGCCCAGTTGCTATGCTACCCGAAGAAAGAACGAGGAGTGATCCCGTCGATGACATTTTCAACACGATGGTCATGTACGCTTACCCAGATGTAGGCATTTGGATCGTCGTTTACAGGGAAATGAGGTTAATCATGAAGAATCCCTTCCGGTGTCCTGAAGTGGCCGATGTGGCAGGGCACCACCAATGGATTCCCAACGGTATGATTATCCAACAGATTCGATAGGTATCCCACTCCATGCTTGCATGTCATTTCAGACTTCAGTGACTTGGTCGTGTAATACACATGTTCCGTTGTTTATCCGGGGAGATTTTGCTTTCGGTGCCAGATTCAAACTAGTCAATAGCGATGGTTGTGCGGTAGCGTTGCTCTTCACCTGACTTTAGGAAGCAGAAAATCTCGTTCAAGATAGGCGGTTTGAGCCTAAGAGGATTTTAGCGCACGACATTTATTCTCACTCAAGGAGCTTACTGTTCCCGTGGCCACCGTTGCAAGTCTGATGTGCTCTCAGGTGAAGCCGGACTCATCTACACCTTCAGAATGAACGAACGACCAGCAATGATTAGTGTCCAATCATCCAGTGTACACATTCAGGTGACGGAATGTTTTGTCATTCATGGTGAATATTTGAAAAATGGACCACTTCATCGAGACAAAGTGGTGGATCACACCTCTCACTTCATCGGAAACTGACTTTTGCTCCCTCAGGCGAAGAAATTAGCTGGTACCCCAGGACGGTCCTTCGTTTCTGTCACGGCCTTATTCATCCCTTTCATTTTGAGTCACTTTCATTTTTAGTGGTATGTACTGCCCAAAATTGTTAACTTTCTTCTGTTGATCTTATTGTTCCGAAGAAAACTACGGGTGGTCTTTCACTTGCATATCGAACTGTCGAAATGACCTATACGTGCGCAAACATTCCGGACTTTATGAAGTTTTGGCCTTAGTTCCACTACATTTTTGCATTTTTTTGTAGCCTGGAATGCGATTCACAACAAGACCGAAAGTCCTTCTCTACTTTGACATCGTTTCTCCCTATTCGTGGATTGGCTTTGAGGTAGCCTTTCGTTTTTTCCACCAGCTGTCTGTAGACAGCCTGCCGCTATTCGCAACGATGGCCCGTCAACTTCAGGTTCGTTCCAGCTTACCTAGGAGGAATAATGCACGAATCGGGTGAGTGCGCCCGTCAGTCGGGAACAGCAAGAGTGAAGAGCATATTTTTTATGTATCCTATTAGACCGTAACGTAGCTATTCATTTTTACCGTATGACAAAGCGGAAAATGGTGCATACATTCGCGGTAGCAGCAATAAAGCCTCTCACGAGGTCGAAATGCCAAGACAGATTTCGAGGGCAAACAAACGCATAGTATGGGATTGCATAAGCGAGTCCAAATGGCGTCGAGTTTGGGGTCGCCCATGCTCTGTTGGAGACGTTACGGGAAATGGTAACTAGCTAGTGGCATTCGTAGTGTCATTTTCTTTCTGGATTGTCTGATTGAGCATTTTAAGGTGAAGGCACCTCAGGGTGTCTGCTGTGGGCTAGCACCACGTCCCTTCCTTGTCCAGTCCTTTCTTTTTTCACCTTGAGGCTTTAAATATGCTTAAGCAAAGTCCCTAATTGTTTTTTTCAGTAAACCATCAGTGTCAGCATAGATGCCGCTGTTTGACGCTGATAGTGAACTCAGCTAGACGGTGAGACCGATCGCCATCGGTAGGTTCATCCATGCTCAGTGATGAACTGGTGGCGCGATCTGGTCCTGGTACAGAAAAACGATGGATCTAATTGAGCGCTTGTGTGTGAGTGAGATGATTCTGCCAAAATCCGCATTGCAGTTGTCCAGCCGTTCTCTCACCCTGATTGTGTGAATTAGTTACATCCTGGGGGTTGCAGTTTTTATTTGCAATTCGTCTCCCCAACTCGTCCCCAATTCTCCCCAGTTCGTCTCCCCATCTGTCTTCCCTCTGTACCTTGGCAAAGCGGTTTGATATAGCACACAAGTGTGTAAGATACCGTTATTTAAACACGTTCTTTCCACATGGTGAGTCCGTTTTGATGCAGATTCTTCTGAAGCTATATTTAGTTTTTGAGTTGGTGTTCCCTTACCTGGAGATCTGCTTTACGGCAATGGTTGCGTATTTTCGTGGACCATTCATTGGTTTCATTGGTTCTGCCAAGGAACGTAGTGCCTTTGAAATTGCCTATTATCTTGGTCACTATTCCTATTAACTTTTCCTGAGTCTTGAGTCTCGCGGTATTATCGATGTTTATCAGTACCGCGTTGTATCCCCTATTCTAGGCAACAAGCCCCCAGGGATGGTTCCCGCTCGTGGTCGCTACATGGTTAAGGATCTTGCTCGATTGGCCAGTCACTATCAGATCCCATTGAAATGGAATGACGTAGGTCGGGATTTCATTATTGTGGATGTTTTCCCTCTAGTTTACTCAGCTTAGATTGGTCACCCGATGTTTGTATTGCAGTGTTCTGTGCTATGCTGGTTCAATAATCTTCCAGAGCTGTCGTCAACCATTCACAGACACCAGAAAGTACACAAATAAAATAGCTGGAGGAGCTTGGTCCTCAGTTATTGACAATAAATACGTTTCGCCTGCCATAATGGAATAAGGTCAAGCGGTTGAACGTTTTTAGTGTTTGTTTGTCTAAACCTTGCGGCGACGAATTTCTCAGATGCATCCCGAGCATGACGCAACTGATTAGTCTCGGGATTTTGTTCCGCCTGTTGTTGTTTTCTATACCTACGCGAAAAACGGAGCTTGTTTGGTACATCAAGGTGGATGTAGTGAGCCAAACAAGTGTGGGACGCGAGAATGACAGTGTTCCGAAATTCGGGTAATTACAAACCAATGTGCTAAACAACATACGTTCCGAACAAAGTCCCGTTGTTGTTGTTTTGGTCGTTGTTCGATTGTCTCCTCAGCACCAACTAAAGGCTATGAGATAAAAGCACAACTCAAGACGCGCGAGTACTATAAATGTTTGAGGAGATTCTGTTCAACTATCTTATTTAGCCTAGACGTGAATGAACTCAGCTGACCTTGTTGTTGTCGGAGATCTGGTCCAAATGCAATTCTGTGTTCTTTTGCCGACACACTTTATCCTTTCGGCTCTTCCATTGTAGCAGGATTCTTCCGTTCATATGCTCGTGGTTACTACCACTAGCATTAACCAATCGTTTTCGGCATGACTGGGTGGAGCATTCTTTTAACTAAGCTAAATTTCTTCAGAAAGAGGAACTGGACTTGTCGATATCATCGGTACATCTTAGGTTCGGTAGTGCTTCAGTGCCGTAACGCAACAGGTTATTTCGAAAAGCTTGCTTTCCCCTGACAACCGCTAATTGCTATTTCGCTCACAATAAATGTAACCTAAGGTGCTATTTCGTCCCATTGTACTTGATTTCATTTTTATAAAGGAATTTGCGCCTCGGAAACAGTTTTTCGTTTTCAGTGGCTGTAACAGGTATATCGTTCTAGCGAGCTCCAGTCAGCTTGCAGATTAAGGCTTAGGCTGTTGACTGTGAATTTTCGTGGAAACCCGTTTTTTTCGTTCCGATTTCCTCTGTTCAGAAACGTGTATTCCGGTGCTTCCGTCGGGTTGAATGGCATATGTACGTCGGGAGGAATCTGAGCTACTTGATTTGATTGGTCACTGTTTCTGACCACTAAGTGGGTTATTGCCTGCACACCTTGAATTGCTTGCGGAGCGGGGAGGGTGTGAACCCGTTTTCTCGCTGTAGGTCGAAGCCTGCAGCATTTTTTGAATCTACAAAGAACAAATATGCTTCAGCTCCAACTGATCATGATGACCAGCGAAGACAGTTTGTTAACAAACGGTGTGACCGGCATTCAAATGTTTCTGTGATCTTTTCAGAATGTGATCACTGCAATGTTCGATAAACGAACCGTGGACGCTCAACGGCTACTGATAGCTGTGGCGCTTGATTCCACAGATACTTTATCACAGTCGAGCAGACCCGAGTCAGTCGTCAGCGCTCCACCAGGAAGTCTGTTAGAGACGGTGGCTCGAAATCTATGGTTACGCATCTGGTCTACCGGTGAAGACATCACAACTACCGATAGTCATCGGGTAGTATTACAAACTGCCTTGCCGGACAAACCAAGCGAATGGGTGGACAGCGTTTTACAGAAAGCTTCTTCAACTGTTGTCAAGGATTTACTGAAATCAAATACGAAAGCTGCGCTAGATCTTGGAGTAAGTCGTTCACTCACTTTTGTGCTGGTCCTACTGTTTGCTCCGCTGTCTTATTGCTTGTATCGTTTTTACTCACTATTTTGTACAAATAGCAGAACTTGCCACAAGAAGTATGATCCGAAACGTCCTCGAAAACTATTAGTGCACAGCTGATGATAGCCATAATACAAATCAGAAGGTGAATGTGCACTAATAAAAGCTTTTAGTATTTCTGCGACACGTATAAAAATAAATACAATAGCAAGTCAAAAAGGGAACTTATCGTATATGGGAGTCCCTTGGTGAAAGTCCGGACGGCGGGAACGTGTTTTTCTCCGCAGTTAGACTGCTTACACGTGCTCATGGTTGTCCGTGGACTTTTGGAGAGGTTGACGTCCTTTTCCCTGCGCGCGCGCGAGTCTGTGTCCTGACTGGGTTCGGTTTCCCTTTATGTAGGTCCCAGTGCGTATACGTGGGCGCGTCGGGAAATGAGTGGTTGCTACGCTGACTAGGCGGTGCAGACAATCGATGTCCGATGTGTCAGCTTAATGCGACGTGTTTGTGCGTATGAGGAAAAAGACAAGCCTCGCGATCCAGTGAGCGACTGAGTTGAACAGTCAAGTATGTGGGTGACTGGGTCGCTACAAAACCGTTCAACGATTATTTTTCTCACGATTTTACTTTGTCTGGTTTCAAAGAAGGAGACAACAAAAATGCACTTTTTGAACTGGGAATATTCCTGGCGTTTGCATGCAAACGGTAGAACACTTATAGTCCTACAGAGCTCTCCGCGTAAACAGGTTTACTTGTGCCACAGATGTCTGTTCAGACCATGTGCCACAAACGTGGACAGGATGAAGTGCATACAAGAAACAAAACAAAAAGGAGGCTTTCCTCGGTTGCACTTCACGCGTTCGGAATTTTTGCATTGTTTCGCAGTATGTGTATATTGTGTAACTGACAGGTCGTCACTTCGCCATATCCACCAACATCTAACTATATTGCTTCAATGTTCCTTGAGTCCTAGCCAGGAAGCCTAAACTGTTCCACGTTCCGTAAGTTAGCAGTCACGTTTTTCAGGCCACGTGTCACCGCTATACAGCAACACAGCGGTTTCTGTGGCCTGGGACCGAGTGATCTGGTGTTTTGACGACGCAAGTGACGCAAATTGGCAAACTTGATTCCAGTCCTTGAGATTCGTGCACCGACTTTATCAGACACATTTCCGTCAGAGATAATACAACCAACGACGTGTGTAAAATTCTCCCGCAGTCTCCAGAGATTCTTGAGTTGCAAGGAGTAAATTCAGAGACTACCAGTTATGATGAATGTACCTGCACCTCGAAGGTGTAAGATGCACGCCGAAAGATGGTATGAGAGTGATCAGTATGTTCAACAGGACTTGTGCTTCGGTTTGGTCTTCAAAGATGAGGAAAATGTCGCTTGCATACTCTAGATCGACAAGGCTCGCACCTGCAACGATTTCAATACTGGGGTTTTGAAGATCTCTCGGCGTTCGACTCATTGTATCATTGACGACTAAGTTGAACAAGAGTGGAGTGTACATACTTGTCGGACACCACTTTTTGTAGGGTAGATTTTGGAGTGCTCACCATACACTCTCATGCCCAAAGTATGTGAATATAAGGATAGGATTCTGTTCACAAACTTTTGGGGCATACCCTGTTGGGCAAGTGTAGTTCACATCACCGACCGATTGACAGAATCGAACGCACCCTTGGACACCAAGATTGTGGTTCCTCTGTACATGTGGGGTTGCTCTAGCATATCACAAGCTAGCGAATACAAACATAGACTTCACTTTTCTTTTGTCGACTTCGGTCACCACTCCGCCAAGTGTGATGTAACATCATAGTCACCTTCTTCCGAAATGTCATTTACTGATATGATTGTTTGAAGCCAGAGACGATTTTGCGGTTGTATTGTGCAAATAGCCTTCCGTAACGAGGTACTTCGATCACTGGGTAGTTTAACCGTCCTCATATGATCAGACGGAGACGAGATGGCCCAAGTGGTAAGAATTTACTGATCGGAATATCCGTGGCTGTCGACTTCCCCTGTCTAGGCTTGGGCAACCTGGCAGTATCCCAGCCCTCGTGCTTCCTTCGTGCGGCATGGCATCTAGGCACCGGGAGGGTGCTACAGCTGGACGATTATTATTTATTTATATGACCAGACAACCAGTATGCACTGCAGCGATGTCATCCGCGTACTCCATATCCACTGTTTGATAACCTGGGTGAAGCTCCATCCCATTATTCTCAGTGTGGTCTTCAAGCGAATTGCGTGATCTATCACTCTGGAGAAAGTTAAGCAGTAAAAGAGATATTGGGTGGTCCCGTAGAACTCTAGTGGAGAAGAATGGTTGCAATATTTCTTCGTGAGCTTGAAGTTTAGCTACCGCTTCTTGACAAACGGCCTTGAGTATGGCCATATATTCGTCAATTACCCCCAAACCTTGACAGGTGTTCCAATAATCTCGCCGGATCAGTGAAGTCGAAGGCTGCGCGCACACATAGAAAAACCATAATGTTTACTTGCCGATTGACATGACGGTGTTTTATATTCTGGCGAAGAGTAAAGGTCTGGTCAATGCATGCGTCCAACTCTAAAGGCGGCTTCGCAAAAGTGACATGACGTTCGGCGAACGAGGTGTACTATCAGTGTTGATGCAATTAAGGTGAGACTGATTCCACCGTGGTTAGCACAGTCTCTCCGCGATCCTTATACATAAATGGAGGCAACAACGGACTCTCACCGAGTTGGGTGTACTGTTCTTCGGTGGACAACAGACAAATGAGTTACCCAGCAAGTATTCTCGCACTCACTGATTGAAGCGGGTGGCATTTTGTCATGACCCCATGCTGCAAAAAAAATTAAGTCGTTCAGCTGCTGTACCGTTTCGGTGCCTAGCTGCCATGTCGCACAAAGGAGGCGCGAGGGCTGGGATACTACCAGGTCGCCCAAGCCTAGACAGGGGAAGTCGAGAGGCAGAGGTCTGTATTAGTGCAGCCAGTTGTCAGCTAATTGCTTTTTTTCATTAGGGTCTCTAGTGAAACTTGTTAAGGTAAAGCATGTGCTCTATAGCACAGGGGTAACGATGTCACTTCAGTTTTGACCGATTGTCTTTAGCCCAGCGCTCTAGCTACTTCCGAAAGTTGTTCATTAGTGTATTGCCTATTTCACTGTTAATTCCACTGGCAACACTTTGTCGCTTAGCTCCCGTTGCAGTTTATTAAACCGGCGTCCGAAAAATTTTCAGGCGAACCAGCAGGTTTTATCTTAGATACATGCTTGTAGTACCATGATTTACACTCTGCCCTCTCGTAATCTCTCTTTTGAACAACAAACGCGTAATTTTGAACGCACCATCTGTCTTAGTTCAATGGAGAGGTCAGACTGGTCCGAAAAACAATCGGTTCTTTTCTTCCGCAACATTTCTGTTTCTTACAATCCTGAGTCATGTGTCCAACATTGACTCTGTGATCCATGCTCATTCTTAGACACGAATAAGACCTAACTCGATGTGTATACTCCTCATGGCAGGTGATGTATTTTACCCCTTTTCAATAACTGAGTGGATTGGCTTCCCCAGTGGCAGTGACGGAGCAACAGTGAGATACTCGTCCTGGGTCGTTTTAGCCATAACACTTCTGAGCGACATCACTAATAAAAATGGGCTCATTACTCTATATTTTTTCATGTATCTGGGTTAGGTGTGTCCACCTTGAAAATTGTACATATCTATCTGAAGTCATCAGCGGGGTTTTGAAACGGGTACCCACTTGACTACTTTCGTTGCACGGGCGTAGGGAGGTCTACCACATGATCCCTTGGTCAACACTTTCAGCCTGTTGACTTCAAAAACACGCGGTTCCAGCCCGTCACTCACACCGGTGAATGGGTACGGAGGTCCTCCAGTACCGGCAAGCAAATCATATAATCTGTGGTTGTGTTTACGTTGGATTAGTAGACTTGCATAGACCTGTTGTGGCGTGCAATTCAGGCGAGTGCCACTGTAGCGAGCGAACGGCGCACGATAGATTGAACGTCACTTCATTGTTGTTATCCATGCTTCTGGCTGTTCGAAGTCTTTTTTGCCGGTTAGTGATCTCAATTGAACGGTCATTAACTACGGCAGTCAAGTAACTATAAGAACGGTTTGCGGTGTCATGTAATAGAAACACCCTGTATCAGGTAGTGGTGTGTCATCCGTGAAATGCAATGGCCATTTGGGACTGAGAGACTTACATAAAAAATCAGTGGTGAGTGCTCTTCCCTACAGCTGACCCGATGATGACTTGTTCGCAAACTGCAGTAGACTCGGGCGTTTAAGTAGTCTGAAATAAGGAGATGGTATCAGCGGCCATTTCGTTGGAAATTTGGGAGACGGTTATTCCGTCCCGGTCGTTAAAAGGACGGATTTAATTGACGGATGTGGTGGCATGGTACCTGTGTACGGTTAGTCATAGTGCAGCTCGACTGGTCATTGTAATCCAAAGAAATGGGAAATTCAAGGAGTATCATCTAATCCATGAGAATGATGCGTAGATACACCACATTTTAGTGCACTCGGTGCAATAGAAACAAACAAGTTAGCAGCCGTTTACTGATAACTCGTGCTTTCGTTTGCACATCCTTTTATCTTGTTGGTAGTGTGAGGAGATTTGGGATTTTTGTGGGGATTTCGTCCTGTAAGTGAAGCCAATCTATGTTGAAAGCCGAGAAGCACAGTGCTTCTCGTATTGTGCTCGCACAGTGCTCGTATACTGTTGCTGGCGCACTATGCACTCTCCAGAACGGCATTCTACTACCGTTGATATCGCAGTAAGTCTAGATGATCACGCTTAGCCAACAGCTAACACCACCCCAGGATTAGTGATCTACCCAGCACCAGCCCTAAAAGGCTTAGACGCCCGTCTACGTGGCGGAATATCATTGTATTGCCACAGCAAATGTGACGACTCATAATTACAAGCCAGAACACACAGAAATCAAATAAACAAAAGAGGATGTCTGAAATTGGGTCTTGACGATTCCAGGGTTGATAAGGTAACCAACAACGTTTGCGCAAGGAGGTACAGTATGTATGACGGCATTCGCAGTTTACCTAGAAGACCTCATCGGTAGGAAACATTTCACTGATTGCACGCGGACACAACTGCGAAGATACGTGAAAGAACATGCTTAGGTGTGGAAATGGGACCATTTCGTTTCAGGCCTTGTTTGAAAAGACGAAATTTCTTCACATTTGGGCCAGGAAACAACCAGTCATAGTTAGGTTTCGGATGTCAAACATCATCCACCCTTTAGATATGATACGAGTGTCTATGGTTTTTGATGTTCAGTATACTTATCACCTAAAGTTGATCCCTTTGTTGCGTAGCTAACCTGAGGAGTGGTCATTCGGTAGTTGAGTGGAGGCATAACTGTTGTTTCTTGCACACCACGAGTGACCAATGTATTTTCTCAAGTCGGTGGATGCGCGTTGTTAAGTGAAGTGACGCCGTACAATGATGGACCAAACGAGGCCCTCCGAACACAGGTCACAGATATTTC